TCGAATCTTATGAAGCGACATAACTCGGACTAGTTTCCACTGGGGGGACTTCGTAGTGTCAACTAGAATGGCGTCGCTGCCTTTGTATACGTCCTTACCTTTAATTGCGCCCGGAATTTGATCCAGCACGACTCATTCGCAGCCCACCTCTTCAGAGTCCTCCCCAAAACATGGCCTCAGTCCAGGGAGCTACCCGAGATTCTTGTCTTATCACTACAGGAAATTGCACCGATCGCCTACGCATTTCTCGGGGGCTCGTTCCTAGATCCGTACTTCCATGCCTTTCGTTGTTCCGTGAGCATTGCAGCTGGGGAACAGCGCTACGAGAATGTCATAACAAAAAATGCGGGAACGACTGCTGTTATGGTCTTTGTGCGCGAAGATGTCACTGAGAATATTGCCTGGGTCAAGACCGCAGAAGTTGGAGTTGGAGTGATGGAAATTGGGAATAAAGGAGCTGCAGCAGCACAAATTAGCTACCGAATTAGCGAAGGCACGGTTGACCTAACCTTCGTTGCTGTGCATCTTGCCCCAAACGAGTGGGCCGTAGACAGGAGGAACGAAGATTGGAAGAACATCGCCCAAAAACTTGTATTCTCCAAGGTGGACAGTGGGGAGAATCCTCAGGTTCACGACGAAAGAAATGAAGAGGATGTTCCACTTCTCCAAACCCAATCGTCTGATGCGAATGGTGAAATTGGCCTTTATTGTCCCAGCTCATACCTTTTTGTCGCCGGGGATTTGAATTATCGGACATCATTAACCCGTCCGGGGCCAAAAGACTATGAAAGGTTCCCTCGACCCACGGAAGATATTGACAGCCCTCATCACTTCTCGCATTTACTTGCGAACGACCAATTGACCAAGGAGCTCCAGGAGCAGGGGGTGTTGTACACTTTGTCTGAAGCACCCATCACATTTTTGCCCACGTATAAGATTGTCGTTCCAACCCATCAGGAAGCTTCTTTAGGATCATTTGGAGCATGGACATGGGCGAAGAAGCGCTGGCCGAGTTGGTGCGATCGAGTGCTCTATCGGGGGATTTCGTCATCCACAACGTCGGGAGATAGTGGCATTGTGGCCCAGGGATACGATGCGTTACCGATATTGCAAACATCAGACCACCGTGCTGTTGCCCTTTCAGCGTCGGTCCCTCTCAAGCCTACATTGGCTCTCCCCGTCTTCATACCTCCCTTTGAAATTGACCCAAACTGGAAAAACAAAAGACTCGCTGCAAAGCGCAAGGAGGTGATCGTGGGTGTAGTAGCCTACCTAGGCCTTACATGGCAAGGAAATGGGCTACTTCTGAGCACTGCCCTCATTTTAGTCGGAGCTTACTTTTCCCTGCAGTTATTTCGTGCAGGATGAGGGTTCGGCGATACTGTTTTATTATGAAACGTAGGTGACCCACTTGACCATGAACGAAACTGCGATGGTATGATATCAGATCGCCAGCAACTTTCGTGTGGAGGAGTCATATCTTTAAGACCCAGAACTTAAAACACCATGTGGATGTATATCCCGTCCTCCACAATTCCAACTGGGCTAACACGGCCGCATTTTCAAAATGTCGAAATGTCGAACGGGAGAGCTACGGCACACGAATGATAATCTCGTGGTTTTCATTGGCTTGGTTATTGTATCCACTGGTCCTGAAACCAGGCTGTCAAATTCATGAGGCGAAGACGGTTGATCTCGAAAATGTCAATGCCACTCCAGAACCCGGAACACTACGGATTAAGGCCATATGTGCTTGATTATCTACTCTCACCCCGT